CGGTATAGCGTTCGCTGTAGAATGCCGCAATAAAAACGTGAATTTTGTTGCGGTTTTTAGCATTAGCATGTTAGCAAAACTAAACTCCCACAAAAACGCCAAACAGCTGCGTTTTACAGCGTTTACTAGCATTTTACAGCTAAAAAAATCTATTACTTCTGGGGGGGGTTTTTTACAGCCAGAAAACACCTCCACCAAAAAAATGCTGATTGCAGTCTATGTGTGTATGGATACAGAGGATAACATGCTGGGGGGTTACTGGCAGTAGAAAACCCCTGCCAAAAGCCAAAAACAGCCGCTGTAAAATCGCTCCGTGTGCATGAGGAGTAATCCTTCTCATCCTCCATCCACCCCCTGCACTTTCAAATCCTCTCTTCTTCATTGTCAGGGATGATGCTAACCCACTAACACTTGTTCTCTCTCTAGTCTTTTAAAGCGGACCCCCCGCCTCCTAAGACCCCGGAAAATGTAAGTAGGCGTGCTAAAATACTCCAATATGGGTGATATAAAGGGAGGATAAAATAATCCGTCATACAGTGTGCTATCACCACTTATAGATTTCTGAGTAATTTTCAATATTGGAGAGAGGGGGGGGAAGGGGGAGAGAGAGGGGGGAGAGAGAGAAAGAGGGGGGAGAGAGAGAGAAAGAGGGGGGAGAGAGAGAGAAAGAGGGGGGAGAGAGAGAAAGAGGGGGGAGAGAGAGAAAGAGGGGGGAGAGAGAGAAAGAGGGGGGGAGAGAGAGAAAGAGGGGGGAGAGAGAGAAAGAGGGGGGAGAGAGAGAAAGAGGGGGGAGAGAGAGAAAGAGGGGGAGGGGGAGGGGGGCGGAAGAGAGGGGGGAGGGGTGAAGAGAGAGAGGAGAGGGAGGGGAAGAAAGAGGGAGGGAGGGGGAGAGAGAGAGGGAGGGAGGGAGGGGGAGAGAGAGAGGGAGGGAGGGGTTGGGAGGAGAGGAGAGAGAGAGGGAGGGAGGGGGGGGGGAAGTGAGAGAGCGAGAGGGGAGGGAGGGAGGGGGGGGGAGAGAGAGGGAGGGAGGGAGGGGGGAGAGGAGAGAGGGAGGGGGGGGGGGGGGGGATGGAGAGAGAGGGAGGGAGGGAGGGGGAGAGAGAGGGAGAGAGAGGGAGGGAGGGGGGAGAGGGAGAGGGGGAGAGAGGGGGGGAGAGAGGGGGGAGAGAGGAGAGGGGGAGAGAGGGGGGGGGAGAGAGGGGGGAGAGAGGAGAGGGGGAGAGAGAGGGGGGAGGAGGGAGAGGGAGAGAGAGAGAGATGGGGGTGAGGAGAGAAATAGGAGGGGCGAGAGAGAGAGGGCGAGGGCGGAGAGAGGGGGGGGAGGGAGAGAGAGAGAGAGAGAGGTGAGAGAGATGTGGGAAGGAGAGGGAGAGATGTGGGAGGAGAGGGAGAGAGATGGGGGAGGAGAGGGGAGAGATGTGGGAGGAGAGGGAGAGAGGAGGACGGGGGGGAGAGAAAGGGAAAGAGAGCGAGAGAGCAAAGAGGGAGAGAGAAAGAGTGAGCGCAATATTTTGAAGCACTATCTAAATGCAAAAATTGCTTCTCTTTAAGGAGCACTTGTCAGAATAAAACTATACCAGATTTTCGCGCTGTTTTAATTGTTCACTGGCTACATGCTTGATCCAGATCCATGACTCGGCATGTGGTGAAGGCAGGGTGTAGACACTCGGCAGCAGCATCCAAGATGGTATTTATGAAACAGGATCAGATATTCCAAGCAGTAACGTGCCCCCTGGAAAATATTTTAAAGTGGTAACAGTTATAGATTTGCTAACTTCAGTTTTTGAGAAACACCAACTAATCATTTATATAACTAACACTATTGATTTATTCCCATCAGTCCCCAACCGAGGAACCAGTGACCGTCCAACTAACCGAGACTGTAAGTGACCCCATTAACCTTGGCTGAACCCTATATAGCAGCCATTGTGTTTCTGAGTGAGCATATATATATGTCTATAATTCACCTGTTACAATGTAGATATGGATTACACAGTGTACTATATATATATATATGATAGAGTGGAGAGTAGGTATGTAGGTATCACACTCTGGCTGAGCATGGTCTGGGTGCATCATGGAAGACAAGTAACACTCAATAGAGCAACTAAAACCACTCATTAGGACTTAAAAGGTTGGTTACATTGTTATCATATCAATGCAAAAGGAGGATTTGCACTACATTAGACTTAGGCTGGCCATACACTATACAATTTTCTGTTCAATTTCCTTTAGATTTACCTTCATCTATGTAGTACAAGAGCCTGCTTAATTGGCTACAATTGAAAGTGTTGTGAGGTTTTGTTGACCTGAAAACGCGTTGGATCTTTTTATATGCCGATATTACAAACAATTCAAGGCATTTTGGGTTCTTCAAAAGAAGGTAGAAGGGGCAGCCGCCTTGGGAGCTTCCGCAGGAGAGGGCACACAAAGGGTAGGACCTGCTATCCATCTTGCTGGAAGGTTGTCTAGAGTGCAGCAAAGTCTACTGGCCCTCTCCAGCAGGACTCCCCTCCTCTCTAGCCGAGCTCGCCTCTCCAGCAGGGCTCGCCTCTCCAGCAGGGCTCGCCTTCTCTCCAGCAGGGCTAGCCTCTCCAGCAGGACTACCCTCCTCTCCAGCAGGGCTCGCCTCTCCAGCAGGGCTCGCCTCCTTTCCAGCAGGGCTCCCCTCTCCAGCAAATTTGGGTTGCGAAGGTCCCAGTTCATCTATTATATGGGGATTGGGCTGGCACTGGATTCCCAGTAGACTACCATATGACATGTATGGGGTGTTATAGGGTCGTATGCTTCACTTGGTCGTGGTTCTAGGACTGTTACATTGTGCCATTGAACCCTAGTTTGGTGGCAGCAAGGGAGTCGAGGGAGACCTCTCAACTTCATAATATTTAGACTCCAGTTTCCTAGTAGGACTTGGCACATCAGAGAGCAAATTTGGGTTGTGAAGGTCCCAGTTCCTCTATTATATGGGGATTGGGCTGACTCCGGATTCCCAGAAGTCTACCATATGACATGTATGGGGTGTTGTAGGGTCATATGCTTCACCTGGTCGTGGTTGTAGGACTGTCATTGTGCCATTGAACCCTGGCTTGGTGGCAGCATCCTGAACTGGTTTTTTTCTTTAGACGGTCAACACACCGCTCACATTCGCGGCTGTAAATCCTCCTTCATGCAGGTCTGGAGCCAATGTGCACTAAGGAGGTGTATTAGGCACAGCTTTTATCACGGCTGCGACTTTTTCTGTCTCTCATTTATTCTTAATTATCTCTCTCTCTCGTCACGAAAAGTCTGCCACATGTAAGTATAGAAGATATTAGAATCAAATCACTGGATGTGCTTTCTCTTCGGCGATGTTGTTGGGAATAGATCACATTTTCTATAAGCCTCCGCCATGTAACAATAATGGCGCACCACTGATGAAAGGTCCAGATACAGATTCATTTTCAGTAAGGACAGGGGGATAATCAAGCGTATCCAATGTGTTTCGGCGGTCCGGGCTTGGCAGGAGCCTGTTTGGCAGAAAAACTAGCTGCTGACAAGACCTGTGCAGACAATCACTGGCCGAAATTACATTAAAGCAGAGGCATCGGTAGGGTTGGTGTCACCCACTGTGCTCGGCCTGGAATGTACCATATTAGTATGTGGTGTTGGGGAGCAATGAATGGAATTCACCATATCAGTAAGTTAGGGAGAGGCTGGTTGAAGAAATATACCATGTTAGTATGATGGGGGGCAATTAATGGATTGTACCATGTTAGTATTTAGCGGGGTGATGGATGGAATGCACCATGTTAGTATGTAGGGGGGTGATGGAATATACAATGTCAGTATGATGGGGGGGTTTTGGATGGAATGCACCATGACAGTATGTAGGGGGGGTAATAGATGGATGGAATGCACCATGTCAGTATGTAGGGGGGGATAGATGGATGGAATGTACCATGTCAGTATGTAAGGGGGGGGGTGCTGGATGGAATGTACCATGTCAGTATGTAGGGGGGATATGAATGGATTGTACCAGGTCAGTATGTAGGGGGTGATGGATGGAATGTACCAGGTCAGTATGTAGAGGGGCTATGAATGGATTGTACCAGGTCAGTATGTAGAGGGGTGATGGATGGAATGTACCAGGTCAGTATGTAGGGGGGGTGACGGATGGAATGTACCAGGTCAGTATGTAGGGGGGGTGACGGATGGAATGTACCAGGTCAGTATGTAGGGGGGGTGACGGATGGAATGTACCAGGTCAGTATGTAGGGGTGCAGGACAGGAGGTTTGGATAACCCGACGTCTCAGTGACAGCAGAGGGAGTGGGGAGGGAATGGATATTTCCTCGTGGTGGTAGAGGACGACGTAAACAGCACACACTGACCTGCTGTCTCTCTCACACTCTGAGCCTGAGTTTTCACCTCCTGTCCCAGCTGCATGGGTGCAGCCATCTTTCCACAATCTTTTTTGGGGTTTGGACTGCAGAAACATGGCAGCTCACCCCAACCAGGGATCTTGACCTTCCCTGGGCCAGAGTGGACATCGGAGAGGTGCCACGTACCTGGGTGTGGTCTGCACCCACACAGAGATGCCACCACAATAAAAGGTTCCTGTCAACTTCTAGTCCATATACACATTTGTGGACCCCTAAAAGTTGTTTACTACTTTTTCAATTGTCCCCCGTCCTTTACTAAAAGTCACATCTGGACCGTTCAGCCGTGAGGCGGTGCTTCCATTTACATTTAAGTTCTACTTCATGCCAGGGGGACTGTGGAGATCCTCTAGGGCGGAGGAACTAGTTCATCATTACATTAAGATAGACTAGAAATATCAATAAGATGACCTCACGGATCCAGCACTGTGTTTCTGCTTTCCTTAATGAACTTCTGCCTTGGCTGTATTAACTACTGTTTCTATTCCAGGACTGAGTCAAGTCTTCTCCAGTAGGACCTTACTAAGAAATATCCAAAATTTGAGAATACAAACAATTGAAAATTACCTTCATTGTCTTTTAGTCTTCCACAGAGCAAGAGTCCCTGCCCGCCAAAGCAGACAGCAGATCCAAGAGCAGCCCAGTCACAGAGGGCAAATCGCAGCAAGGAAAAAAGGCAGACGAGGGCAAAAACTCCAAGCCAAAAATCATGATGTTCTTCAGACAGCTGGTAAGACAAAGGTCATCTAGGCAGCTTTCTGGTCTAATGTCTTACTGCACAATTATCATCATTACTTTTTATAACTAAAACATTTTTTTTAGCAATTTTGGATGAACAGGTGGGGGTGCAGCAGGTACGAACCTCTGGCAGATCTTATGGTTGGTCCATTGAGTAGAGTGCCCTTTACTTCCTGTCTGGGTGACCACCTACAGACATCTGTAAAACATCTGAGAGAGGTTCTAACCCTTCCAGCAATCTAAAACTAGGCTTAAGAGCCTATCAGCCTGTCCCTTGTTAGCAGATAAGCACTGCAGCACAAATGATTGGCGCCTTGTGTTTCCACTCCCTCTTTAGGTCTGAGCTGTGCTGTACAAGGACTGCACAAGGTTAATACCAAGTCAAAGTTCAGTTACTTACACTGGTTATATTTCAATCAATCAGCAGACCTCGTTGATTGGTCAAATTCAAGAACTGATGTTTCTTTCTGCAAAACTATAAAGACCATAAATGTTAAGTAATGTACATGTTACAGTTTTCTCCAACCTTCTTTTACTCCAGTAAAATTAACAGCTGAAACACTTGTCTGTTATTGTAGTCAGTGATGGGTGACCCCAATAATGGCACGTCAGAGGAGGTTAACGGCAAAATCTCACCAGTAAGTGGACAGAGTATCTGGTGTGATTCACTTTGGTGGTGGGAACCTCACTTTATTTTCTATAAACACGTGTACAAATTAGAACAACAATTTACTACAATGTTTGCATGTAAATCCAATTAAATGTATAGCTAGCACAGGAAGGAAGGACCACGTCAACTAATGCAGACTCCTACCCATAGCCAGGAAAGGTAAGCCAACACCAGACTCCTTAGTCACGTCAAGCTAGGCAAGCCAACACCAGACTCCTTTACTGCTTCAAACTAGGTAAGACAACACCAGACTCCTTTACTGCTTCAAACTAGGTAAGACAACACCAGACTCCTTTACTGCTTCAAACTAGGTAAGACAACACCTCTCTCCTTCACCACTTTAAGCTAGGAAAGCCAACACCCAACTATTTCACCGCTTCAAGCTAGGTAGGTCATCACCAGAGACTCCTTCAGCGCTTAAGCTAGGTAAGCCAGTGCCAGGCTCCTTCACCATTTCAAGCTAGGTAAGCCATCCTCAGATCATTTACTGCCTTAGGCTAGGTAAGCCAATACCTGTCTCACCACTTTAGGCTAGGTAAGTCAACACCCAGCTCCTTATCCGCTTCAATCTAGGTAAGCCCCGTGTCAGACTTCAACCCTTTAAGCCAGATAAGCCAACACCCCTTCTCTTTCACCTCTTCAAGCTCTTTAAGCCAAACACTCAACAGCTTCAAACTAGGCAAAACACACAGCTGCTTCACTGCTTTAAGCTTGGCAAGCCATCGCCCGTCTGCTTCACCACCCCAGGCTAGGCAAGCCATCGCCCGTCTGCTTCACCACCCCAGGCTAGGCAAGCCATCGCCCGTCTGCTTCACCACCCCAGGCTAGGCAAGCCATCGCCCGTCTGCTTCACCACCCCAGGCTAGGCAAGCCATCGCCCGTCTGCTTCACCACCCCAGGCTAGGTAAGCCATCGCCCGTCTCCTTCACCACCCCAAGCTAGGCAAGCCATCGCCCGTCTCCTTCACCACCCCAGGATAGGCAAGTCGTCTAGCTCCTTCACCAGTTTTGGTGACACCTAGTCAAAGAGACCCTGCATTTGGCCCCTGCAAGGGTAGCCACCCACTTTACATGTGCTTTTACCCAAATGTGAACATATAGAACTTTGGTTTAGCAATTCTTTCATTGGCACCTCTGCCAAAGTGGCATCACTTACTGGAATGGAAGAACCCAATCCTGCCGTCAGCAAAAATAGAGCATCTAAAGCCAAAACACATTTTTTTAATTTTTAGATGGAGCGGGGAAGCAGATTTGTACTGCTGTCTGCACCTTCACAGGGGAGCATTACCTCCCTGGTCCTGGTAACCCCAGAAAATTGATGGGCAATTTAAAATTTTACAATTGTCACAAAAACAAAAATGTTCCAGCGAGGACACTTTTTTGTATCACTGGGACATGTGACAAGAAGCGAAAGGAAATTTCCACAATGAGATACTGTAAGTTTTTCCTACCTTTTAGGTCTAGAAATTTAAATTGACACCTTTTAAAAAGGGAAGTCTATAATTCAGAGCACCCCGAGGAAACCTTTTGTGATTTCAGTCGAGAAAAATAGGGTAATTGCTCTCAGGTGTGGACAAATTAAAAAAAGTATTTACAATAAAAAGCAAAAGTATAATTAAAGAGATTAAACTTACAGAGTCCATGAAAAGTTAAAAGTGGAAAAATAGGCTGCAGAAACATTATCCAGACACATGAGCATGTATAAGCACTGTGGCTGACCTCAAACTGGTTGTCTTCATTGATATTTAAAGTGCATGTAAAAGCTAATTTTTTTGTGTAGCGTTTGATTGCTTTGTGTCCCCTGGATTCACCCTATTTGTCCCGGTGACCAATGTCACCAAGACGTGTGAGGGAAGATCCAAATTTTTTAAAATGTAACCAAAGAGTAAATCCTTCAAAGAGGGACACCTGTCCTAGTGACAACCATCTAAGATAGGAATTCTCTCTTATTTCCTGTTGCATCACCAGGACAGGAAGTGAAGGGTACTCTCCCTAATAGGACACAGATCACAAAGAACTACCTTATATGGGTTTAACCCTTCCATAATTATTCTAAAATAAATAAAACCTTTGGCTACACATACATTAATGACATTATACGCCCAAACCACCATATTCTCAGCTTACATTTCTGCTCGGTCTTTGCAGACCCTGGACATCACTGACGGCGTGGGGAGGTGGGGAAGTCAGAGAAGACCGTGGTCACAGCCGTGGTGGAACCTCCCCCTGCACCTCCACTGCAGAAGGCCAAGGAAAACCCAAAAGAGAAGAAGGCCTCGTCAGAAAAGCTGGCCAAGCAGGAAAGCAGAGAGAGCCCAGAGGCTGCAGCTTCATCGCAGGTCCAAGTGGCAGAGGCAGCGCCAGTGCAGAATGGCGCCGAATCTTCCAAAGAGGGCCAGATGAAGAGAGTAGAGAAGAGGCAATCTCTGGGTAGTTTCTTCAAAGCTATTGTAAGTACCATTCTGGGCCAACTCTAGTAGAAAATTCTATTAGGTACAAGATAACTCTTTATATAGTCCTGTTTGGTATTGTGCGTTCACATTGGTATTTTCATCCAGCATTTGTGATGAAAACAGATGGATTTAAAAAAAAGAATCATCAGGTTTAATTGTTCTCCATGCTCTTGTTTATTTAATGAGCATCAGAAAGAACAGGAAGTTTGCAATTCTTCCACCAAGGACATAGACATATAAAAATTGATGAACTATTTGGATGCTCAGCCAGAAGTTTCATGAGATAGATGTTGTAACTTGGTGTCCAAGGTAAGTATGTCTTCTGGTGTTGAGGTTTGTAGTAGGCAACGCTCTGGCCTACTGGAGCCATGACTAGGGTCTTGTACCAACATGTCCAGAAGTGGAGAGAGAAGAAAGCCAGAACACTATTTAAGTTCTGAAACAATGTATTCATTTAAACAGTTAAAAAAAAAAAACCAACATGTTTGGGTGGCTTTTAAAAGTCTCATCTGACAAGGGCTTAGAAATGGACACCTAGGGATCTGGCTAGGAGTTGAAAAATATTCCAAATCAGTGGTTCTTTACTTTTGAGACCAATTCTTAGTAAATTCTTTGAAAACCTTCCATGCCACAACAGTAAAGCATAGGTGCAGATTCTTCTCATTCCTTACCCCACCCTCATCGTTCCTTGGTTCCACACCCCCTAGCCACCTCGCAGTACCACCCATTTATAGAGAAACCAAAACCAAGTACTTTATAATTTGTATAGAACGTGTGGATAACTGGAAAAGCAGTAGAAAATTTTTTTTCCTGCATCCAGAAATAGTAGAAGACTCAGCAACAACACATTCCCCACACAACAATATAACACCCCCCCCCCCCCCCCAAAGCAATAGCAATTATAGATCTCCCAGCAGATATCATTAGAACCTTCAGGATTCAGCAACAGTAGACGCCCTCTCAACAAAAGATCCCTCCAGGTAACCATTGACCAACATCAAGAAAGGATCCTCCACCACCACCACCTCCCCCTAATGCCCCCACCCAGTGACAGAAAGATCCCTCAACAGCCAGCACCAATAGACCCTCTACCATGCCCCAGCAACCACATTACATTTAGTGCTGGAGGTGCTGAAACTGCATTCCTGCTGGGGAAAAAAAAGCCGTGGGGTTAGGGGATTCTGCAGCAGCCCTGTAAGTGATGAGATTTCTGGGAGGTGGATGGAGAGCACTGTGGGACACTGTTTGGAGGCACTCTGAAGGGCTGGAGAACATGCGCAGGTTGGGTTGGAGGCACTCTGAAGGGCTGGAGAACATGCGCAGGTTGGGTTGGAGGCACTCTGAAGGGCTGGAGAACATGCGCAGGTTGGGTTGGAGGCACTCTTGAAGGGCTGGAGAACATGCGCGCAGGTTGGGTTGGAGCTAAGGCAACTATGAAGGGCTGGATAATATGCGCAGGTTTGGGAGAGCACTGTGACGCCATTATGGGAGGAATTTATAGCTGGCTGGAAGTCCAGTAGTGGAGGCTGTGGCCTGGCAGTGGGCCACAACTCAGTGGTTGAGAATTACTGAAATTTATGTTTGGTCAAAAAGCCTTTCTCCAGTTGCTGGTTATGCTTCCTGCTCTGATGCCATTGTGTTAAAAAGCTCTGTATAGCAGATCCTTTCTCATGTTCAGCAAATCTGAGACCACCACCTTTTTTAAAATTTAATGTCCAGACCTGTCCTTCAACCTCTTCTTCATTTTTTTCTAGGGCCCGAAAAAAAGCTATGCGATGCGGAGGTCCAGACAGATCCAGTCTCCATCCTGCCTGCAGAGAAGGCCAAGTAAAGGCTGTGCGACACCAAGAGGATCACGATCTCTTGTGGGCGGAAGGGGCAGATTCCGCTATTGTTGATTATTTCTGGAGTAATTTGTACAGAGTTAGTTAAATAACAATACAGACCTTTTCAGCATCGGCCAGATCATATAACTATGAGAAATTTAACTTTAGTAGCGTGAATTATGAGATAAACCAGATATTACTATAGCAGAGGTGAGCTTAAAGCGAGCGTAAGGCGGCCACAGTGACTCTCACTGAAGGCACCAATACAGTGATATATTATGACACTTCTATATGTAATAGAAAGGTATTGAAGTGACCCGTCACATTAATAGGCACAGTGTTGCACAACAATGTAGAAACTACTTTAACTTTCATTGTCTGTAGATCTAGCACCATAAAAGTAAAAAAATTCTCCAGCTTTACAGCATGCTGGTACATGGAGTCTTGACACCAATTGGTGCAGTTTTCTCCAAAAAAAAGGTACAAATAGCTTTCAGATCTGTGCTTAGGGGCTGATCAGGTAATTTTACATAATGACCAGAATTGCTAAAATCTGTGGAAAAAAAAAAAAAAATCAGCATGCAAGGGGAAAATTATAAAAAAAAAAAAAAAAAAAAAAAAGAAAAAAAGAATGGTAGAAAATACAAGAGGTCTTCTTAACGGCTTTGTTCTGGGAGGTCACTAATGTCTAAGACTTCAATACAAACGAGTCCTATATTTGATTCTGGCCATGGCATTGCAAAGAGCAGTTAGTTACACCACTCAGGCCCACAAGGAGAAATACTACCAGGAATTTTTTTTTAATCTTAGCCTGTAAATGTTAGTCTGAAGGACATTGCATTCATTAAGCTTTTACAAAAGCATGGGGGGGGGCCTTCCTAAAAAAACCATGTTGAATATGGATCTAGGAGTAGTGCTGGAGCATTCAGCAAGCGCTTCCAGGCTTTGGCAGCCTTTCACAAGCACTGGTAGAGTAGCATGCAGAACGCCGCAAGGGACAAGAAAACGCTTAAAATGAGAAACGTGTGCAAAGTGTTTACAAGGCAAGATAAAAAGAAAGTGCCCTGCGGACCTACCTTGAGAGTTTGAGAGCCACTATTCTTGGCCACCTTCGAAAAGATGCTCATTGGCTGGCTTCAGCACTTGAGTTTTCTTGTCAGCATTCTGGGCCAAAGCTTCAGGATCACAGCCAGGGAGCTCAGCAATGGCAGCCAACATACTTTTTATTGATTGGTGTACTTAACCAGTTTTTCCATACAGATCCAGTAACTCTGGCCTTGATCCACCAAGCTGCAATGGTACTTAAAGTGTTACTAAACCCCGAACCCCGCATTCACTATATCCGCTCCCCCCGGACCCCGCAGTCACTATATCCGCTCCCCCCGGACCCCCCCACAGTCACTATATCCGCTCTCCCCGGACCCCCCGCAGTCACTATATCCGCTCTCCCCGGGACCCCCCGCAGTCACTATATCCGCTCTCCCCCGGACCCCCGCAGTCACTATATCCGCTCTCCCCCGGACCCCCCGCAGTCACTATATCCGCTCTCCCCCGGACCCCCCGCAGTCACTATATCCGCTCTCCCCGGACCCCCCGCAGTCACTATATCCGCTTTCCCCGGACCCCGCAGTCACTATATCCGGTCTTCCATAGTACAACACCACGGAAATGCAATATTAGGAAATATAAAACTGCTAAAAACCTTTTCTCATCAGCAGTATATAGCAGTTGTGACTTCTATCGATGTCCAGCAGATCACTTGGATTTTTCATTCTCCCGATTGTCCTATGGGGCTGCAGGACCCCTGACACTGTCTGGACAGCGCTGACTGGCCCTGTGCTGATAACATGCACTCTCCCAAGAGGGAAAAAACTCTTTAGCAATATACACCAAACTGAGAACGCGCAGCTTTCCCCCCCCAAGGCTCTGATCAGCAGATGGATTAGGGACAGTAGAAGGGGAGGATCAGAAGACAGGATCAAACAGTCTCTTGATCCAATGTTGAGGATTAGCCCCTTATGTTCCAGAGTATAACAAGCAAGCTTTCCTGCATATACAGACCAATTTTACTGTTGTGGGTTTAGTAACACTTTAATAGTACTTAGAAACACTACCCATTAAGGACAAAGTGACAGTCAGCACTTACCCTAAACCCTTCCCTAGGCATGTATAACTTAACCAGCCTCACTGCCAGAGCCCTCACTAACAGAACGGGGGATTATGGGTACAGGGAGCACATGACCTTTCCAATGTTATTGGCTAAGAGCAGCCAATCACCATTCCTAAACATTAAGGCCCAATTCACACACTGATTCCCTGTAAAATGTATGTACATTTCCCATCCAATTTAGTTGCGTGTGGACATCAGTTTTGGTAGCATGCCATGAAAGCCTTACTCTCTCCAAGCGCCAATACCAAGGCTTAGGGAGGCAGGCAGAGCGTCTCCCAACGTCAGTCTCTGTCTCCCAACGTCAGTCTCTGTCTCCCAACGTCAGTCTCTGTCTCCCAACGTCAGTCTCTGTCTCCCAACGTCAGTCTCTGTCTCCCAACGTCAGTCTCTGTCTCCCAACGTCAGTCTCTGTCTCCCAACGTCAGTCTCTGTCTCCCAACGTCAGTCTCTGTCTCCCAACGTCAGTCTCTGTCTCCCAACGTCAGTCTCTGTCTCCCAACGTCAGTCTCTGTCTCCCAACGTCAGTCTCTGTCTCCCAACGTCAGTCTCTGTCTCCCAACGTCAGTCTCTGTCTCCCAACGTCAGTCTCTGTCTCCCAACGTCAGTCTCTGTCTCCCAACGTCAGTCCTCTGGGAGACAGATGGAGCCGACAGGTAATTGCAGACAGTCACCAAGCCCTGAGCAAGCCAAGTGATAGTGCCTTCAAAGACATGTTTATTATGGTCTATCATTCTATTGAGAGCCCTCAAGAATACCTTCATCCATGATACAACAGTCAACAGATAAAGTTACAGGCAGCTTTAATTCTAAGCAAATTTCAAGTTTTCTGTAGCAGTGGAGTAGGGCATTAGTCATTTATAAAGGCAGAACCCCTATATACACAAATAATGCTTCCAAATTATATCAAATAACCAATAGGAGTTGCTCTGGAGGTACCAGGCATGTCCAACTTTCATAGGAAAAATGCTTGCATACTAGTTTAGATGCCCATATCTTAAGATACACGGATCATTCTGATATTTGACTTTCAATAACCTTCACCGACACATTGTTTGAATTGCCCGTGCTTTGGGCAGGCCGACCTAAAGTACAATGCAGTAAACTGGAACCAAAAAAACCCCCAAAACTCATAATTCCAAAGCAAAAGGTCAAAAAAGTTATCTAGGAAGGCTCAGCATGTTCAGAACGAACTAGAATGTTATAACGTTTAGATGACACTATGATGCTATATTAGCAGAAGCTTAAATATAATATAAAGACAGGGGCAGACTGACCATTTGGAAACTCGGGCACTGCCCGAGGGCTCAGGGTCAGTAGGGGGCCCCATGAGATGCCCTGGTACCTTTTTCATATGCTTTTTTTTTTGAGTGTGGGCAAGGACACAGGGGCCCCATGATCCCCTCTTGCCCGGGGGCCCCATGAGTTGTCAGTCAGCCCCTGTATACAGATGATGCAATTAATTGAATGATCTCTACTGAAATCCCAGAACATGGCCAGCAGGGGGGGGGGCGACCTTATCCATTGTGAAATCATTGTACAATAAAGGGAAAATCTTTTCGCTGCATCGCATACCACGTCTAATGTAAACCTGTTTGAGGACTTAACACTAAAACCGTATATATCTCATAATCATCCGGCTTCTGACACCCTTATAATAGTTTGTTACGTCTAAATTGTTCTAACGTGGCATTTTCTTTCCATGTACCAGAAATGATATCCCAACTTGCTGTGCTTTGCAGCAATATGAAATTAAGTTTCATTTGGTGTAAAGAGATTAAATAAAGTTTGTTGTATTCCTACAGGTTGTCAATGCTTCTTTCTTCTAGTATAGAAACAGGAATGTTTTTTGTTTTAGATCTGGGGTCTCAACTTTAGTATTAAATCAGTTAAAAGGACAAAAAAATCAACCAAGGGCATGAACCCCACCAACCAAGGGCATGAACCCCACCAACCAAGGGCATGAACCCCCACCAACCAAGGGCATGAACCCCACCAACCAAGGGCATGAACCCCACCAACCAAGGGCATGAACCCCACCAACCAAGGGCATGAACCCCACCAACCAAGGGCATGAACCCCACCAACCAAAGGGCATGAACCCCACCAACCAAGGGCATGAACCCCACCAACCAAGGCACAAAAAACCTTCACAAAAGTCAGCAGTTACAGAAACTGTAGCTACTGACATTTAAAACACAGATGCTTACCTGTCCCTCGGTCCAGCTGTGTCCTCACCACAGCTGGTTTCACCGGCCATCTTCTCTTCCCGGCATCTTAAGTGTGGGTACAAGGCTTTGGCAGCTTGCGGTTGCCCACTGTGCATGCCCCCGTAATCTTCTGGGACCTGTCACGTGTCCCAGAAGACTACGGGGAGGAAGGAGGAAACAGGAAGTGGATGAGTAAACCATTGGGATCTGGCCACCATACCTGTGAGCAGGAGATTGTGTGAAGACCTCCCACCCCGCTCATTACCTGGACAACTCTTGCCCCTTTTGCAGCTGGTGAAGATATTTCGGCCATTGCAGTGACTGGTAGAAGCAATGTCACCATCAGTCACGTGACAGCACTCAGGCAATTGGGACTAGACAGGGGTCATGATCACAAGTGAAACCCTTTGCATGCATCTCAGGGCCAATTTAGACTGTTGCAGTTTTTACATTTTTATGTTTGAATGCACCATTACAGAATGCCAGCAAACCAGCGTAAAACAATGCATTCTGTGTGCGGAGTTAAGAAAAGCTACCTGTTGAATTTCTTACATTGATGGATGACATCATCTAATTACAGAAGGTGCTTAAGACAGGTGACCCTAAACAAAAAATGTAATGTTTGTAG